TAAATAAGTAACTATGATGAATTGGGACTATCATCCCATTGTGGATGGAGTGAATGGTCTTCATCCAGGACTTTTAACTGCATATGATGATATATTAGAAAATGAAAAGTTTTTGTCAACAATATATTATAAACGAAAACCGTTCAAAATGAACTAAAGAGGAGACCAAAATATATTAACACAACCCACATATTTTTTTTTCTTTCTGATATCTTTTAAAGGATCACACAACACGTGGCAACCATCCCCTAACCCATAACCCCACCAACCCACGCGTATGGGATTCGATCCCAACTACAACCAGCAGGAGACCTTACCACCCCACATAAAAATTTTACGCATAGCGGTAGCCTCACCAGATAAAAAGCAAAACATTATATAGCCTTATACCTTTCGCATGCATACACATGACATGATAAGAAAAAAAGTAGTAGCATTTGTGCTACTACTTTACACTTCGTACGTCATTTCTAAAGGCACTTCGTGCGAGTAAACCAAGTATGAAAGGAACTACTTAGCTAAATGCTCGTTTATTCTAATTAATTAATTTTGTGCGTCGAGGTCTGAACCCAACTTTGAAGCTAGCCTGCAGTATTGTGGAGGCATCATTTGGTTGGTTCAGACAAAATGGCTTCTTGAGTCAACTTTGATGGAAGACTAGTTAGGCATCATTTACCCAGTCAATATTTATAAGGAAGCTTATGTATGACTTGTATTAATCAACATTCGATGACGAGAAATGCTGACTAATGCAGTATATATGGACTTCTGGGTTTTAGTTTTGATCGCCACTTCGCCCACTCTCATTGTATTTTGATTTTCTTCCTTCAAACAATCCGGGTCTCCGGTTTGGACTTGAAAAAAGTAGAATATATTAAAACGAAAAAAAAAAAAAAAGCAGAAGCGAATTACATTTTGATTCAGACGACTTGGCTAGTTAGAAATAGCTACCATTAGGAAGTTTAGAAATAGCTACCATTAGGAAGTTGATTAGCTGGTTTGTTCATGTATTTATCAGCAACGTACGCCCTCCAAGCAACGGCAGCTGACGTTACATAGTTTGGACTCTTGAAGATATTCTTTTGTCTAAATCAAACATATAATAATTCTCCGCAACAGTTAAAGGGCTGTTCGTCAACATGCATGATTTTGTTTATTAGGAAGTTGATTAAACTTGTGGCAACTGTTTTTTGCTTTAAAACAAAAAACAAAATTATTTATATTATTGATTAACGGCCCCTAAAATATAATAGGGGGGAAATAATTACAGTATCCACTAATGAAGTAGTCAAGCTTGATTGACAAGTTTGTCACGTCTCCAAATACTATAATTGAGGTAAGTGATATTTTTATGACTATTTTATCCATCTAAATGCCCTGCCCTTGTTAAATGGTAGATTAAATATCACTGTTATATCATTTATAATGGTATTATTAATTAATTTTTCTCTTAAATAGAGTTCGACTGAAAATAAAAAGACGAGCCGGATCTGCTCCTCACAGAAAGCATCTTACATCATGTATCGGGAATATCTTCCATACTTTTGTGTTATTATTTATGGGAGATATTTTCAATACACAAGAGATGTGCGTGTGAGATCAGTATAAGGTGAATTGTGTGAAAGACATGATACCAAAAAAAATGTAACCAATTAACCCATATCATAAAAATGGTAATCAAATTCATCGAAGAGTTTTGATTGATCAAAGCCCTGGCAGCATAGATTTTTCTCTTTTTTTTTTTCTTGGTAAACCATTATTTTTCCCTCTTAAACTTTTCTTATAAGAAGCCAACTGAAACTTCTCCTAGTTTTAGAAATACACTCAGCAGCCATTGAATATTGAAGGACTAAGGGGTTGTTTGATAATAACCACCAAAATAGTTGAATTGGATGAATTATTGCTTCATATTATAGTGGATAAATATAATGAAATATAAAAAATTCTGATATTTAATATGATGTAATTTTGAAATTGTATAATATATTATCCTAATGACATTAGTGTAAAGAAGGGAGGTTGGGTACATACAATTTGTTCCTTTTTTTAACCAAAAAAGGCTACTTTCATTAAGAATGATTAGAATACAACCCATGAGATTACAATCAACAACAACAGTCAAACAAATAAAAGATAAATCTAAACCAAATTAATGATGAAAATAAATACAGATCCTGAGCATCAGGATATATAGAAAACTTATGATAATTATACAAATGATGCATAATAATGAAAACACAGACAAGGGCGGACACATGTATTAACGATATGATATTTGGATTTAACTTTTATCACATGCATGAAATTCGGGCATATTCTGGTACAAGGGCATATGTGCATATATATAATCAAGTTAAAGGGCAAGTTAAAAGTGAACTAATCAAGTTCAATTTTTATGACTTGCACCAAAACCTAAGCAAATATTTATTTTATATAATAATATAGATATAGATATATAGATGGGGTGTTTCCTTTTACCTCCTATGGAAAGAAGGGAAATAAAGATAGTGTACATCATCATCCTACAAGCCCCCTCAATAAGAAAATCTTTGTATTTATTTACATTCTTCACTAATGCTCACAAAGTGGTTTGTATTTGGTGTCATGTGATCTTTTGCAAGTATAAAAAGATAAACATGGTTGAATGATCAATCACAAGTGAACATACTAGTGTTCCATATACAAGGGACCACATGGCATGGTCATTCGTGATTGGTTATTCAGTTAGGTTTTCACAATTGTATTTGCAACAAATCCAGTTTTTTTGTGACTTCAAGTCCATCTTGTCAAAATTTATATTTTTTTGGGGCTACATATGGGATAGTCCATCCCCTAATCTTAGTGCGGGTAATCAACTGAGTGGTGGCTCAGTTGGTACGTCGATTGGGTAGTCCCACAAATAATACGGTTTCGAGCCCCACTATCGGCTCTTATCTACCACCACACCTTTGAGAAGAGTTGTTAGTTAGATTGTTGCTGGAAAAGTGTTATACTATGCCAAGAAAAAAAATGAAATATAGCCCCTGTGAGGGCGAAAGGCGATGATTCGATGTAATAACAAAACAAATCCTGGTGTAGGCAAGATTGGATTTGAAGCTTATGATACGATTAGAGATGTCAATGGGTCGGTTTAAATGATAAATTCAGCTTGACCCAACCTTAGGGTCAAGTATTCGGTTTAGGGTTGGGTTAAGGTTTTGATTCTTCAACCTGAGTTAGTTCGGGTTTTGATTAACCTATCCGATGGGTAAATAAATCTTAAACTTTAAGGCTATAGAGTTAGAAGTAAAAAAAAAATACAAGAATACTTTGTATATACATCTTCAATTAATAGATTTTATGTCTTCAAAACGTGTTTAAAACATGCAATTGAAATGTTATGAGTCTGATCGGCTTGGTATCAGGTTAGACCCTATAGGGTCGGGTCAAGTTTGAAAATCATGCATTTTTAATATCGGATCAGGTTCGGGTTCGGGTTCGGGTTGATGCACTGGAGAATCGTATTAGAATTGAGACAAACCCATGTTGAACCCAACCCATTGAAATCCCTCGCTACAATTAGTAGGAGGCCTTACCAACCAACACCTTGCACCTTGTCAAAGTTATGTAGTGGGTTAATCATCAGTTCTCACCATGGCATTTCCTTTTATCACCAATTTATCAGATGCAAAACTTACATGATATATGGTGATTAGGCTAGTAAAAATTGGGCCACGTGTATTCATTAGTAATCACTATGTAAAAATTGGGCCATGTGTATTAGATGGGTGTTATGAGGTGAGTATCATCGGTACTCACCATGTATTCATTAGTAATCATTATGTCATCTGCCAATTCATCACATACACTTTAGGGAGAAAGACTGTTCAGCCCAGGGTTAGAATTTATAGGCACAGAGTACTGTTGGGGTAAGTGCCAGCTCGGAATTGGTGTCAATTCATGGGCGAGTGTTGGTGCAGAGTGTGGGTTATTGCCATTTTGAATATTTATCTCTGCAATGGAAATCAGAAATCTACATTGGGCCTGTTTGTGGAGAATATCTCATTTTCACCCACTATATGGACAGTAGAGGCAGAGCTTTGGTGCTAGTCATAGCAATGGCCTTCATACTTTAATGCTCTAGTGAATTGCAATATGCTCCTCACACAGGGCGCCTCATACGGACCTCGCATGCACATCTCACCATGCATTGGGAACATCTCCTATAAATAATAACATATAAATATAAGAGGTGTTCCCAATGCATGGTGGGATATACCTGTGAAGTTGGTGTAAGGCGCTTTCTGTGAGGAGCAGATCCATTCTCGCTCCACGCCCGTGGTAAAATATATGGGGCCCACTGAATGTTTGTGGGTATCATGGAACATTATTAATCGTTTGCGTTTGCATTCACTAAACCTATCTCTACCAAAAGAATGTCTATGGAAATAATTGATTTTTTATTATTTGTCTTTTTATTTTTAGATGAATTACAAATTATTACCTTGTACTTTATGAATAGTTTCACTAAAGACCCCTAAATTTTTAGATTTTGATAAAGACCCCTTAAATTTTCAAATTCTGATCTATTAGTATTCTGTCACCTAACAAAGATCATGGGCTGAGGCCATTCAATGTTGACAAAATCCCAATCTCAGCCCGCTAAGTTGCACCTCTAGTTTATTGTGTAATTCCTAATTTTCATATAGAAGTTTTTTGGTATTTTTATTACAATTTCTAGAAGTTTCTCAGGTATTTTTGATAAATTAATTTCTTTCATCCTTAAACGGAGAGGGGATATTTTCCGAACCTACAAGTTAGGGGGGTTTATTGCAAATAAAAGCTTAGAGGTAATTGCCATAGTGTTACAATCATACAGGGACTAATGTGTAATTTACCCATTATTTTTTAAACCGTCTGGTATTTTAGTCATTTTCATTAAAATTCTTATACACATTAGTCAATGCCATGGATTAAACGACAACGGGACTTTTCAGTAAAATTTCTGCCTTTTTTTCCTACTTTGGCTGCTTAGCTTACCAAACTCGAGCTCTCCTTGGTCTCATCACTCTGTAGTCTATATATACACGTGAATTTCGTTGCCGCTGATCACCCTGTCATTTCCGTCTCTCCATCCTCCTCCTCCTCTGCGTAGTGACTAGTGAGCAACAGGGTTCCATACAGGTGAGCCTCTCTACTCCTGCAAAAGCCCCTTTCTGATTTTTGTTTAGCAATTTCGTTTAATTTTGTTATATTTTCTGGTTGAGCATCATCAGTTTCAGGTATTTCTATCTGACTCTCTCTCGATGTGTGTGATGATGTTCTAGTAAATGTTAGTATTACCGCTTTTGTATGATAAAACAAACATTGACTTGATGGTGATTTATCACGTATTCCTGCAGATCCTCTCTGCTTCTACTTCTTGTATTTTGATTCCATCTAATTTGTTTTGTATCTGCCATAGCCGAGGGTCGAAGATCTGTTTTCTTCTCTGGATTTACGCTGTTGGTGTTAGTTTTCGTTTGATTTCCCGCATTTCTTGTCGCGTCTCCTCCCTGACTTGTTTTCTTTAGGCATTAATTTTATTCATCACTGGCTCATTGCTAGTACTTTATTTTCGTTTGTTCTCGGATATTCCATAATTGCTCTTTAGTTATGTATCTTATTTTCCGAACTTACTAGTTTGTCTGTTTGTTTTTTCCTCTTGGTTGTTTTAATATTTCTTTCTTTTATCTTTTTTACTGTGTATTGTATTGGGATTGATTTTAGTCAATAGGGAAGACGGGAAGCATAAAATTTAAAGGTTTTGGATAAATAATACTTTTTTATTTTTTGTTTTTTTTTATTCCAGGGATTTCCTCCGCACTAGAAAAGAATAGATTATAAACATTTTTACCAAAATCTTCAACTTCTCTTTTCCTAGTCAATTTTTCTTACGGGGAACCGTGATTAAACAGTTAAAAAGCGAATATTCTAGTTAAATATACATTGGATCATAAGGTCTCTAATTCTTTTCCTATGACTACAAATATTTATGGCCTAATTGTTAGCGCAGTTTGCTGTTTACATGTTAATCTTTGCAGAATGCTTTTTAAGTCTAAGTATTTTTCTGTCGTTATTGTTGTTTTTCTAATTGTAGCTTTGTTGATTGCATCAATAATCTGTGTAGATCATACCTATGGCCCCGGCAGCTGCAGTGGCGGATTCAATAAAGCCTCGAGGTTTTCTTTTACTGTTTTCAATTCTTCGGAAATAAGAAAAATAAGTAACTTGAATAAATACAGAAATCAGTTGATGTAGTAGGTCATATTATCATTATGATAGATTGTTGGTGTTCTTAGATTTCTTTGGTTATTTTGAACAGATGTTTGTATTGTCGGTGTTGCACGTACTCCAATGGGTGGCTTTCTTGGTTCCCTTTCTTCTTTATCAGCCACCAAGCTTGGATCTATAGCTATTGAGTGTAAGATGGAAGCCTTTCTTAGTTGTCTCTACTTGATATATTGGGTGGTATCCACCTTGTTGTCTGAAATTTTACTCTTGTCAACTAATAGGTGCTCTTAAAAGAGCAAATGTTGATCCATCCCTTGTACAAGAGGTTTTCTTTGGAAATGTTTTAAGTGCAAATTTAGGACAGGCTCCTGCTAGACAGGCTGCATTAGGAGCTGGAATACCTAATTCAGTAGTGTGTACAACTATTAACAAAGTCTGTGCATCTGGGATGAAAGGTGAGGAGGTTATTTCTGGAAAAAAAAAACTAAGTATTATGTCATTGAAAAAACCAACTTAGAAGCAAAAGTAAATTTTTTCTTTTTGGGAAATTGCAGCTACAATGCTTGCAGCACAAAGCATCCAGCTGGGTATCAATGACATTGTTGTGGCTGGTGGCATGGAAAGCATGTCTAATGCACCTAAATATCTTGCAGAAGCAAGGTGGTACTTTTTCCCTTATTCAGTTTCAAGATTGATTTGTTTTTCTTTAAGTTTTGTGCTTTTGCTTTATTTTAACTGGAATTCAGATTCACTGCTAGGAAAGAATAAAGAAATTTCTGAATATCAAAATGAGGGCTTTTAGAAGAGATTGGATAAATGGGTGAAAATACAAAATTTGGATAGTCAAATAAACCTGGCCTACTGGATAGAAAGGTCATTTCGCATTGTGGGAAAGAAAACAGATTAACATACACAACAAGAAAGGTGAGATGGAGATGCAAAATTAGGATAATCAATGAACCTCAACCATTTTACAGGAAAGTTATTTCACACTTCAGCAGCCTGGAAACTGACTAGACTAAGTGGGTTTTCCATTTGATGATATTTCCATCCTTGGCATTTTAATGAGCTGTTTTCTTGATAGAGCCTGGGTGTAGCAGCCTGGAAACTGTGAAACTAGATTAAGTGGGTTTTCCATCTGATGATATTTCTATCCTTGGCGTTTTAATGAGCTGTTGTCTTGATAGAGCCTGGGTGTAGCAGCCTGGAAACTGTGAAACTAGATTAAGTGGGTTTTCATCTGATGATATTTCAACCTTGGAATTTTAATGAGCTATTGTCTTGATAGAGCCTGGGTGTATCCAGAAAATAAGTGGATAGTGAAATAACAATGTGCAGGATGACTACCTGTGAACTAATCCTTTTCATTTATGATTAGTTGAAAGGAAATTTTTCTTAACTAGATTAACCTCTCAAAAGATGTTAGAGTACCCAAGTTCCATAAAGGAAGTGAAGTTAATGTTTATGCTTTTTGTGTCATGTTTGCAACTATGCTACACGAAAACCTCAAAATGGGCCCAATACCCATGTCAAACATATGTTGACAGCAACACCAGCACAACAATTTAGGGGACTTCTTATTGGAAAATTTGGTAATGCATGGGAATACTAATACTTGTGCTTGGTATCTTTGCTTAACATTTGCATTGATTTATGCATCTAGACTTCTTTTCTTTCCTTCTTAACAATTATATAACACGGAACCATATCATTAAATATTGTAATTCGTAATTGAAGTAGTAAAGTAAAGCAGCAGAATCATTGAGTATTATTGTTTGGGGTTTGCCAAGTCTGACACCTAATAAGTAATATATATATATATATATAGGGTAAAGTAATCTTATTAGAAACCAGATCAAGAGATTACAACAGAAGCCCCAAAATAGGGGCCACATATACAAGACCTATATCCCCAGACCAAAATACAATTCTAACAGACTCCTTGTCCTCAGCTGGACACCAAGCACCAAGGTGTGGAGACCTTTTGCAGCCGCAATCCAAGAAACTAGCTTGCCGAAAGTACAAGATATTAGACAGTCTGAATCCTTAGTACTATTTTGAAATATTCTTCTATTTCTTTCCGCCCAGATGGTACTAATCACTACACCTAATAAGTAATAACTGTGTCAGATTTCAACACTCATACCATTATCCAAGTAAAATAGGTTTGAAATTGTATGCTGGTGCATATCGAACTCAGTGATACCGCATTGGTGGACTTGCAAGATTACATCCTTGTTGTCCAACCACAGTGGCACATTTTTTCCTTCCTAATAAGATGTAGTGTTAGAAAAGTAATAGTTTTTGTAGACTATCCTAATTTTGTCCATATGAGCAGGAAGGGATCTCGATTGGGTCATGATACTTTAGTTGATGGCATGCTTAAAGATGGCCTATGGGATGTTTATAATGATTTCGGAATGGGAGTATGTGCTGAATTATGTGCAGATCAACATGCAATAACAAGAGAAGAACAGGCATTTATCTTTTCTAAAGCTATCCCTGTTTAAGCTTTGCCTTGATACTTTCCACCAGTTATATCAAATCCTATTTTATTTAATACTTTTTCAAATGTATGTGGCACTTGCAGGATTCTTATGCTATTCAGAGCTTTGAACGTGGTATCTCTGCTCAAAATAGTGGTGCATTTGCATGGGAGATAGCTCCGGTTAGTGTCCTAGTTATATGCAAAATGGGAGAAAAGTGTCCTTTTAGTGGATTACCAATATTTACTACGGTTTTGCATCATACAGGTTGAAGTTTCTGGAGGAAGAGGAAAACCATCCACAGTTATTGATAAGGATGACGGTTTAGGAAAGGTAGACAGAATTGATAATTATGCCACCAAATAAAACTTAAGTTACAACAGCTTCTTGTGCATGGAACGTGAATTTGTTGTTTGCATTTTTTTGTCATGTAATCATGTTTAAAATGTTCCGTATTACTTAGATGGGACAATTTAAGTAACTTTTGTTTACCCTAGAATGGGATACTTCCTATTATATGTTAGCTTTCTATTTTTCTGTACAAATGGAACTTCTAATATCAATCTCAAGAAGAAAAACTGGGAAGGGGGGATGTAAACATTAAGTTTGTCCCATATGACCTTTGAAATAAGCTGTTGAATTTACAAATAGTGTTTATTTTTTGAAAAAAAGGTAAATTAATGTATTAATAACAAGAAAATTAAACCCCCACACCTACACAGCAAGGAGCTGTGCCATTACTACCTCCACCTCTACAAAAAGTATTGATTAAACATTACAAAATAGCAAATCAGAATTCAAAAAAGAGCTGTATGGTATATCTGTAAAACATCTGTGCACTGCAACCCAAGAATGAATTCTACTACCTCACAATTCCTTTATAATTGCCTCTTCTGTTTTCCTAATATCTTCAAGATTTCTGGCATTTCTTTCCATCCACGCGGTCCAAAAAAAAGCCTAGTGCAACATTCTCCATACTATGTTGAACAACCCAAGTAGTGCTTTCTGTTTTTGCCCTATGGATTATTCTCTGTTGAACAACTTCTTTCTTTTGCTCCCCTAGTATTCTCTGTTGTGCATACTTCATACCATATATTCTAAGTAAAATAGGGTGCCAAATCATCTATCTTGGCCATTTTGGATGCCAAAAACCTATTTAATAGAAATAATTCACTTTTTCTTACTGGTGCTGTCAAAGTCTTCTACGCACATGACCAAACCATCTCAGTCTACCCTCACTTCAATAGGAGATAAAATGAGAGAAAGTAGACTGAGATTGGTTTTGTCATGTTCATAGAAGACTTTTGACAGCACCAATAAGAAAGAGCAATCTGTTGCAAGATGAAGGGGGCTAGAAGGGGTAGGGGTAGAAAAATGGGCATGAGTCAAAGTAGTAAGAAATGATTCGAGTACTAATAATTTAACAATTGATATGGCTCTAAACAGAACAAAATGGAAACACAGGATTCATGTAGCCAATAAGGCTTGGACGATTCTTTCTTTCGCATGTTATTTTCCAGGACATATAGATTGGAGTTTCCAAGGATCAAAATATTGATATGTATCATATGGATACACCACTCAAAACATCGAAGTACCAGGTGTATCGTATCTGTATCGGTGCACATGGATATGCATGGATACACTGATACATGCACATTTTAAAAGGTTCAAATCTTTGGGATGATAGACCCCATCCCTATAATTCTTATAAAATAAAAAAGTAAAAAAAAAAAAAACTAAGACAACATGGGAGTATCGGTCATACCAATACACATTAATACCCAATTTGGGTATCAGACATATCAATATTTGGATCACTGATACCCAATTTTGGGTATCGGGCATATCAATATTTTGATCCTTGGGAGTCTTTCAATATTAAAGTACTTTATGGTTGGTTACTGGCTTCAATATTAATATTGATCTGTTATTTTTGTATCTTGTCAGTTTGATCCTGTTAAACTAAGAAAGCTTCGACCAAGTTTCAAAGAGGTTGGAGGTTCTGTTACAGCTGGAAATGCATCTAGCATAAGGTCTGTTGAATTTCTTGGATGTTTGGGGTTATTTTTATTTTTCGTTTTCCCCTATCATTCCTTTTTTGTTGGATGGGGACCTTCTTTGTTTTCAAGTCTGTCCTTTTCAGAAATATGTCTTCATTGTTTTACTTGAGCTTTTCCCCCAAGTTGCATCATTTTAATCAAAATTAGAGGATATTCCCAATCTTTTCACTGTAATAGGTTAGTTTTCCCATTTCTGCTGTTCTTAGGTAGTTACATACTTCCCTCCAATATAGAAATCTTTTCTTGGATGAAATAATCTGGTACACACTGGTATGAATGAGGTATTCTTGAGCAGTTTGAAGTATAGAAATGAACAGTAAAAAGAAAACATGAACTTTAATCCTTTCTCTTTTCCTGAAATGCCATGCCCAGTGATGGAGCTGCTGCATTGGTGCTAGTGAGCGGAGAGAAGGCAATTAAACTTGGACTGCAAGTAATAGCAAAGATAACAGGATATGCTGATGCAGCCCAGGTATTCTGGTGAAGATTTTAGAACTCAACATAATGTTCCAGGAGAAATGCCATAATTACATTGAAGTGAAGAGAGTTTTTCCCCCCAGTATGCATGTACATCTATTCTATTGATCTTGAAGTCCTACAACACTTGTGCAGGCACCTGAATTATTTACAACTGCTCCTGCTCTTTCAATTCCTAAAGCCATTTCAAGTGCTGGATTGGAGGCTTCTCAAATTGATTACTATGAAATAAATGAAGCATTTGCGGTGAGAATCCATGCTTTGGTTGTCAATATTAACGGTGCTTTATTTGTTACTATGTCTAGTTTTGAAGTCTTGTTTACTGGTCTCCTCTCTGCAGGTTGTGGCCCTTGCAAATCAGAAGCTGCTTGGCCTTAATCCAGTGAGTCTAGTTTTTCTTGAAAACCTTTTCTGGGCACGGTTACATTATGTGAACTGAATATCGAAAATTATTTTTCTTGGTGATTGTGCATTTTCCTGTCTCTAAATTTTCTGGGCGCAGTTACATTAGTTGTTTTTCCTTTTCAGTTTTTTACAGAAGCTCATGCTTTCTTTTACGTGCAGGAAAAAGTTAATGTGCATGGTGGAGCTGTATCTTTGGGACATCCCCTAGGTTGCAGTGGAGCTCGTATCTTGGTCACACTTTTAGGGGTATATTTCAAATGACTTGCTATATTGGTTCTGCATGCCTTTACTATTAATTTCTTTCCTTGGTTTTAGTAGTCATATCTTTGTAGAGAGACATTGCAAAAATAGTCTGTCAGATATCATTGCAAAGTATACTTCCCTTGCATCAACGTTAAAAGACCATTTGAGAGTTTAGTGACTTTTATCATGGTTTCTTGAAGTTAATATGAGGGTAATCACCTTCTCTGTTTGATAGTTAGGTGCTATCTATTTCTAAAGACACTACAAAGATTTATCTTTCCTTTTCTAGCCTATCTTTGTTAGCTTTCTCTTAGGATAAGTGGGTCTCCTCTTTCAATATTCACAGTTTGGTTGCTATAATATTTGCAGGTACTGAAGCAGAAGAATGGGAAATATGGAGTTGGTGGTGTTTGCAATGGAGGAGGAGGAGCATCTGCCCTTGTTGTGGAGCTTATTTAAGACAGTAAGGTTCATATGTTGAGAGTTGGTTCATGATTCTCTATCAATGCTTGGTTGAATCACCATGTCTTAACCAAAAAAAAAAAAAAATGTAGCACCATGTGATCCTCAAAAGAGCATTACCTCTTTTTTCTCTACAACAGTGAAAGGCCATTACCGAATGCTGATCCCAGCTATCTGGGGTCATGGAGGGGTAGACTGAATAAGGTCCTAACCTCTGGCATTTTTGCACAAAGTGACCACCCTCACTCTAACCTGTGTTATCACGCTTGCGATCCCAAGATTTTACCATTACACCAAGTAATGGCCCCTTTTTCTCTATGACAGTAGAGCAAAGTCAAAAAAGAAATCTAACCACTCTTTGCAGCCAATTCCAAAAATGATGCAACATAGTTCTACCTAGGCCTAGTTGCTGCAAATTCTTATGGCATTTATTATGATTCGGTCTAGCCACTTGAAGAACAGAATGTCTATGTGGTGTCAGACAAGTCAACCAAGTTATAAATATTTTTCAAACGGTTTGTTGAAACCAGAATCATAGCCATGGTAACTGAAAAAGAGTCTTACCACAAGGATTTCTGCAAAACTCGCCCTTAGTTCATTGAGTGCTTGCATTTTCACTCCTTACAACACATGAAATAAAGAAGAGAAAGAAAACAATAGACAGGACAGTCAAAAATTAAAATAGAATCTCTTGGTGTTGTAAGCACACAAAGACAAACAGTAGATCTAATATAATGGTTGTTTAACCATATAAGATACCGCTTAGGAACTAAAGGCTGAGAAAGTGAGAAGCACAAATTTGTTTACATAATGCATGATTGGGAACTGAACAATCTTGATCAGATTCTTTTTAACTGCCAGATATAATTGTGCTTGTTTCTATTCCTCTTTTCCGATCTTTGCTAGTATATACAATTTACCTTTTTTTTCCTAAATCAGATTATCACAATTGAGATTGGTTTTTACACTAGAAATAGAAATATGTTAGGTATTACACTCGGTGCATTTGCCATGCGTAGTGGTAAAATCTTGACCTGACAAACGAGTTCAAGCCTGAGAGCAGCCACTTTGTGAAAAAAAGAGAAAAGGAATACTAAAAGTTAGGTCCATATCCAACTTTGGGTTATGGATAGCCAGGTCCAACATTAGGTTATAGCCCTTTTTTAGTTGTCCATAGGTAATAAGTGTGCAGATTTACATTTCCTCCCTTTAACCTCAATCCAATCACCCATTATCTTTCTTGTTTTTTCTCCATTCATATCAATGTTAAGATTTGCTTAAATGTTTGAGCTAGTTCTGATGCACATGAAAATAGTCAATTTAAAAGTCTGAGTTTCTCAACTTATCCAATTAATGCATGTTTTTGTGTCTCCCATCTGAAGGTTACAGTTATAGTTGTGCATCTATAATTGAACTTTTTCAGATCTAAAATGTAAAACTACTTGGTATCTGGTTGGCATTTGCTAATTTCCAATGTAAAACCTTGTCAAAGAGGTCTTAGATTCTCAATATGCTCCACTCAGCCAATTGAACCTCAAAATTCTAGTAACCTACCACACCAATGCTTCCCTTTAACTTGACTTGTGACCATTGTTTATGGCATTCTTTAAGTAACTGAATGTTCTTTGTGTGTTGCAGGCCATTTTCCAAAAGTGGGGCGTTTCTCGTTATGAAGCTTAACTTCTTAGTTGTTGTAATGGTTAGATATGCAATTTTTTATCTCTGTCATCCTTTTATATTTTTCTTCTCTACTAAGTGTGTAAGGCCCGTTGAGAAAATATAATCTCCGATGTTGTTCGCTTGTATCATCTAGTAGTGTTTTACATTTTTCTGTTTTATATGCTCAACTGCATTTTATGCATGATTATGGAGCTGAAACCCTCTCATGTAGACTCATGCAAAAATGCAAATCTGATGACTGGTTTGACGTGAGTCACCGCACCGTCAGGGGATATATATTGGATGGTTGAAAGGGTTAACATTATCGATCAAAAATTATTATAAAGTATGCAAGTGATGGTGCCTGCACCACTTAACAGGCTGAGGTGAGTCCCCCAAACCATGCAAATTCGGCTGAGTTTAGAAGCTAGTGTCATGGTCGCTGTGGTTTTTTTTTTTTGAAGGTTGGTCCCTGTGAAATTAAATCACGTACCCAGTATTAGTGAAATAAAATGTGGCATGAAGTCCAACTGTGGAAAGTATATATTCTGATTCTCTGATCGATCTTGATCTTTTTATAGAGTGAGTGGCAAATCCAACTGTGGAAAGTATATATTCAGGCTCAGGCCTTCAGGCTAGGTTGGGCCTATTCAAATTTTGACAAAAGCCCAATCTGAACCTGCCCAAGTTGTAGCAAGGCTGTAATTATAGCATGTAATACCAAAAAATGGGAAAAAAAGGATTGGAACCATCATCCTTGAAGCACAACCTAAGGTTTAAAGTATGGATACAATCTTGTGGGCATGTGGGGCATAGGTGCAAAGTGAAATTCTACAAGCACTTAATACCCAAAAAAAAAGTGAAATTCTATTTAATGAATCCTTATTAAATTGTACTCTTTTTATTTACTCCTATTTAATGGTTCACATTTACTCTCATATCTAATTCCTACTAGTTCTTTGACAATGTTCAAAATATTGGTATCGCAGTGTATGATTAATGTAGAAAAATGGGGTAAATAACTAAATATCAATATATGCTTTGGATCCAAATGCATGAATTCGATAAAAAGATCTAGGTGCACATGGCTGCCACATTCTAAAGTTTATCATGATTTAACTAGTTTCTAAGATTTATTTCATTTTTTTTTCTTGAGCTTTTATAAATATAGATATTTTATCCTTTGGAATCCATGCACTGCACGGGTTTCTTACTGGTTGCTCTTGATGATATCCTAGACCATATAAACAAACCACATGTTTCCTCTGGCAAAAAGTAGAATTGAGTTCACTTTTCTCTCAGACACGGGCAGCAGTGGCCACTTTTAGTTGACCTGTGGAAGGCTATCCCACTGGCCTTGGCCAAAATGAACTCGAGATTTCATTATTTCAATATTGGAAGGACGAACTCATTCCTCTTATAAAATTATGTAAAAACAGTAGGATTATAACCGTACAGATGAAAATATTCCTCTTCTTTTTATCCTCCTTCTTCAGTTTCTTTTTATATTGTTCTTTCAGCATCACAATGCCCCAAGTGTCATTCATTTAGAATCTGTTTTCTTTGTGTCATCATCATAATCATCTGTATAGTGTATACTATCACTGATAATCTGATGTTACCAATTATTGCACGTGGACAATAAAAGTAATATGGCCCCCAGGCTTCAATCGTTGTTTGCAATCAGTGCAAATTTTATTTGCACTAGTATAAAGCATGGGAGTGAAAATGAAAAGGTTGCAAATTCTGATTTAATTTTCTTTTTGGTCTTTTTTTTATTCTGCTTCAGGTCTTATTTTACTTCAGCTTTATTACAATTAAATAAAATAAGATAAAATTTGAAACAAAAATAGATCAAATTTTGCATTTAAATCATTTATACGTTTGTAATTTTGCATCAGTACAAATAAATTTATACTGCAGCCAAACACAGCCAAAACGAGATTGGTTACCCAACCACCTCATGTTGGAATATTGAAGTGAGTGAGTTATTCTCTCCTCCTGTGATCTGATTGCTTACTTTCTCTTTTCTTGCTAGCTTTTAGAAATCACAAGACATGAGAAGGACGAATTCTATCGTATTTGTCAACTAAGATTTCGTTTGAAGGTGTCAGCAGCTGATAAAAGTCAGTAAATGCAGTCCTCTTGTTTCGAATTATTTATATTTCTTTTGCACATCATATAGTAAGCAATCATCGTTTGACACGTGTTTGGAACAAATTTAAAACTAGTTTTTCTCATTTTTCTCATGTGTATTATGTAGTTTTTACACATTTACAATGGAACGCCTGTGACAAAGTGATTGGTTAGTGTGGAAGTTTTAAAAGAAAAGTCTAGGAATTCATTCATGGCCTGAAATATATTTCTTCTTCTTTCATTAATTAACTACTGAATGACCCCGTATTAAGTACGGGAAGGTTAATTATATATATATATATATATATAAACATTAATGATTTTTATTACCATCTTTTAACACGCTCATACAGTCTATTGATCCACATAAATTGACTCATATATGTCAAACCCGTAAAATTATACGGGTCATTAAATTCAACTTGAACTGTTTATTAGTTTAATTTAAACATTCTTATTAGTATTATTATTAATTTATTTTAGTATTTAATTTAATTTTTTTGTTATATAGTAATAATATTAACTAAATTTGTAATTATTTAAATATTTACTTAAAATAATTTTTCCAACCGAGTATAATTATTATATAATAGATTTGTTAATCCATAATTTGCATTTAAGAATAAACATTAATGATTTGGCTTAACAATTTTAATGACCGTTAATAAATATTGATTCTTATTTAAGGTTTAATTACTGTATTCGGTAATTATTATGGGGCATGCTTTGAATAAACATTAACGATAACTAACGATTGTTATTTCATTTTTTATTATTTACTTAATTAAGTACTTGATGATTGTTATTATTATCAATTGTTTCTATAAATAATTGATTGTCATTATTATTTACTTAATTCAGTAATTTTCAGCAAGTAATTATTTGATTTAATTTGAATTTTTTTCATTTTGTTAATTATTTATAATAGACATTTAGGGTAGACTCTTTATTTGATTTAAGAGATTCACCATGTTTTATCTAGACAATGACCCCAAACTAAGTAAGGGGCAACAACAGTATCATTTAATTTGAAATTTACTATTTAACAATAAAAAAATCAATGTCCTATTGAGCACTATCAATAACTTTGAAATCATTAATCTATTTATAAAATAGTAAAATTATATGGATGTTTACAACAATATCACCAATGATGCTTAGTATTTAGGGATGTATTAATGGATAAAAAGCATTTAAATGATATCCATTCAAAGAGGCAAAGAAGAAAGAAAATTATTCAAAGAGCTGCTAAGAAAAACCATCCATGCCAAACAACATTTGCAAATACATCCATCCTCTGAAGTAAGAGATGAAAAATATATGACTACAATCAAATCATCATGTATCGCTACAATCAATTGATAATATAATCAGGACTCCAAAGCCCATCCAACAGAGGAAACCTAATGGTATGTTTGAATTATAGGAATTGGGAGATAGAAATAGGAAATGTTGATGTGCCAAATTCAAGTCAATTAGAATACTCATAGATTTTTAGTTCATTCACTTAGTGGTAATTTGAATTTTTTTTATTCCATGTCTTCATTGAGTAATATAGATTAATAATATATTAATAATTATGAAATCAGTTTATTATTACTATTGTTTACTAATAATATATTCTTACTATGGGTGTATTGATTTTGAAATCAGTAATATTAAATTATTATTATTATTATTATTATTATTATTATTATTATGAAGTAATTAATTTGTTATAATTACGATTTTTAGTTAATTTCTAAAATAATAATTACTTATAATTCTTTTAGTTTAACAATAATGAATAATTGAAAGTTTATAATTTAACTTCCACTAAATGAAATATTTATCGGAGAATAGTAATAGTACTAGTTATAATTACTTATAATAATAATGTAAATAAGTAACACTATTTATATATTTATAAAATAATTAATAAGAATTAATATAAATATAAAATGATTATATCCTGATTAATAATTAACATTATTAAAATACTTATTAATTAACATTTCGAAGTAATAACTATCATTGTTATAATTAAGGAATTAATTATCAGAAATTAATTTTGTCAAAAATCATTATTCTTAGTAATAATTAATTATAATTATTGATAATAATAATATAATTATATTAATTAATATAAGTATTAATTATAATTACCGATAATAAAAATATAATTAATTATTTAATATAAATGTATGAATTATAATTTTTTTATAATCTGATGTTGTTCAATCCGATGTGGTGCACCAACTGAGGAGAGCAACCAGATAGTCCTTGCTGATAGGGCGAGGCCGAGATGTAAGGACGAGGCCACGCTTCAAGACCTGTGATCAAGAAAGAAGTTAGAGGCCCGAGTAGTTATCCCAGGGTAAGTACTCCGACGCTCAAGTCAGTAAGAGGTGGTGGGTGTTCGGGCCGAGCTATGAGGATGCTGGTCCGAGCTAAGTAGCAGTATTGGTCTAAGAAATTGGATCCCTTACCTCGAGCATGGAGTGCCTTTTTATAGCCGAAGATCCGTGTCCTAGTTGGATTGGGCTTACGGGGTTGTCGGGGTGAGGTTAGCTGCGCCGAAGTACTCGGCATAGAGTCTCATTCCCCAACGGAGTCATCTTTCTTTACTCCTCTTTATCTGTAGTTGTGCTCATCCGCATGACATGTAGTTGACGTGGCTGGAAGGATAAGACGGGGGGCCACAGTAATAGTATAGCTCGGTTAAGTTAGGTCGGCGTGGCCGAGCTAGGGTGATGTGGCAGGGCGATAGTTGGGTGGCCACGTGTCTCGCAAGACCAGCTTAGCCATGATGCGAACACCACTCTCCTAGTTCTGAAGTCATGGGATGAAGTAGTCCAATTCGTTCTTCGGCTGAAGAACTTCAAGTTGATGTCTAGATGGGCGACTGGTCCTCTTGGTGTTCCTCGATGACTGTCGCAATCTTGAGAATCGAGCAATATGGAAAATGGCCGAGGAATCTTCCCATTGTTGGCTGTAGAACTATAAAAGCCCTAACTTCAGAATCTGAACCATTCTCCTAGTCCTGTAGCTGAGGATGGGGAGTGTCTGGCCCGAAGTGTTACGCGGTTGCGTAGCTTGGCAGAGAACCAAGGTGTCGAACTGAGCTTCCGAGTCCATCCTGGTGGGGCCGAGGAATGGCTTTGATTCCAAGTGGAAGTT